GATACATTAACTCAAGCCCATCCATATATGGTTGGATCTTAGGCACCTACACTAACACTAAATAATGATGAAAAATACATCCGTAAGTCATGATCTCAAATTACATTCATTATTTATGTTCTTCAATTAACCTAAGGGTTTTTCAAATTAATCATTATTTTTCAAAAAGATTAGCATAAGAAAATTAGCCTTTGAGATAAAAAAAATATCATTTTTTATATATCTCATAAAGTCATAGCCCTTTTTGTCCTACTTGAAGCTTTGATGATCTTTTTCATAATAACTTAAACTAAGATCACCCCTTATACTAAGGGATAGAATGCAAAATCCATAAAGGATCGATGACACTCTAAAAAAATTATATCTAAAGAACCCCATTAATGATTTTAAAAACAAAAGAGAATGTGAAAGAAATAAAAAACAAAAGAAGAAAACATCCCTAGTATAAAATTGTAAGTTAATACGGCAGTCAAAATTCAAACAAACAAACAATGAGAGTTAAGGCTAGGAAACAAAGTAAATGGTCAAAATGACAAAGTCACCATGACAAGCCTAAAAAAAAATTTATCATGAGCATCAAGATGATACGAAAGCCTAACCAATAGCTAAAGTGACAAAGTCTAGATGACATTGCCTAAGGAGACTTCTATGGATAACAAAATGATCTTATGTCATAAGACCTTTAAACACTTATTGATCCTTTAAATATCTACTTTTTTCATAAGCATAAGGCATAGCCTATATTACATGCTTTTGCAGGTCCTTTTTAATCAAAAACAGTTTGCTCTTGATGAATTTTAATCTCAAAAAGAAAAATGATGATTAAACAAGAACTTTTTGAAGAAAAACATGACTAGTTGGTATGTTGTTTATCATTCTTTATAACACCAAATCTAATTTTTCATCAACTAACTTAATGGTAAGAAAAATAAATAGAATCAAGATATTCTTAGGTAAATTATCCTTTAGAATTTGATTTTTAAAAATACCTTATGCTCAAGCCTTTCCATTCATAAAAATAGATTTATGATTTGACCAATCACCTTTAGTAGCATAAAAAAAATAGGTTTTATACAAACCTTGCATGATCCAAACACATTTTTTTAGTTTAGCCCAATGACCTTCTTTATGAACTTACATCGTAGGATTTGAATGTCATGTTTTGATTTTTTTTTTTTATCAATCAACTTGAACACAATCTATAGTGATAACTAGGTGAGTTTCCAAAGATTGATAACCTTTATTGGTATGAATAGAAAGTTACTAACAACTTCGCTCACACAAGAGGGAAACCACCAATGACTTTGAGTCATGAATTTAAAAAGTTACTAACAACTTCATCACATAAGTAGGAAGTCACGGCAACTTCATTTCGCTTGAGCAAGAAACAAATAACTAGTTTGGAAACGGCTGGTAACTTTGTCATATAAGTGAGAAGCCACTAATGATTTCATTTTGAATGAATAGAAAGCAAGTAAATTAACTTAGAAGCTACTAGTCTGTTTCGTCACATAAGTGGGAAGCCACCGACGACTTGGTCATGTAAGTAAGAAGCCACTAACGACTTTATTTTGAGTGAACAAAAAGTAAGCAAATTGACTTGGAAGCCATCGACGACTTTGTCTATATAGGGTGGAAGCCACCGATAGTTTCATTTTCGGATAAGTGAAAATAGGTAAAAATGACTTCAAAACCATCGATGGCTTTGTCACATAAGTGGAAATCCATTAGTAACTTCATTTTAAATGAATAGAAAGCAAGTAAATTGATTTAGAAGTCATTGATGACTTCATCCATATAGATGGTATATGGGTCTTACTAGATTGACTACCTTTTTGGCTTGGAATGCCAAAGAGTCGTAGTCTGCTACTTCTAGAGCATAACTATTTGGAGCCCTTTTTCCGGATCAATTTTGGATCAAATAGAGGTTTTTTTTTGTTTTGGTCTCTTCATAAATGTTGTAGATATGTATGTCTTATTTTTTGGTAATTTTGAATAATCATAATCCAATGTGTATGACTCTTGATATGGGAAAAACCCTAAGTAATGTTCCAAAATATCATATGATTCAAATTTCTTACTCAACTTTGCACCCGACTTTGATAGCCCAAACCATAATGGATTTTTGCATTTTTGCTCAATATAAAAATATTAATATGTATAATTCAAACCCTAAGATAATCTTTTTTTTATTTTCTAATCTTCCTCTAAAGGTTAATCTGTCAAAAATGGAGCTATCATGGGTTTTAGAAGGATGTTTTAAGGATTTTTGGTTGTTGTTTTTAGGGCTTTTTGATTGATGGATGGTGGTGGGTTATAGAGGCTATTGGAGGGGTTGGTTTAAGGTAGAAGAGTGGCTAGAAAGTGGTAGAATAAAAGCTTGACGAGTAATGGCATATGTTGTTTAATTATGTTAATATCTTGTCGATGATTCCGACATTATTTTGGCAACTTACGGTTGGTATTTTAAAGGCTTGGAGGCTATTGGAAATCACGAAGTAATGTTGACCAGATTATAAAAGGTTACGATAGAAAAAAGGGTCAAAAAGTGGTGGAAAAGCATTTAAAATGGACTGTGATGGTGACATCAATGGCTATGACAAAGAGGGGTTATTTTGACATATTTGGATGGCTTTTCTAGGAGGTTTCATGAATCAATTAGAGGAAAAGTGATGGCTGGCCGGGCTTTAGGTTATTTTGGTTGATGGAGATGGAGATGGAGATTGAATGGAGTTTTAATGGTAGGTATAGATGATTTGGCCAAAGTAAAAGGATGGTGGCAACCATGTTTTGAAGAAGATGATGAATACTAACGGCCAACTTAAAATGAGAGAGAATATGATTATTTATAAGGAAAAAATTAGGGTTTTAAGCAAACATTAATTTGAGTCTCTTACTTTTCATGTTTGTCAATTTTAGTGTCATTTGGCTTGTTTGAACTTCAATGGCATCCTTTAATTATAATTAATTAAGACCTCTTTTTTTAATTTTCCTTAACTTCATCCTTCCTTTTTTAATTAAGAATTTACTACTTTGGACTTTTCAATTGCACCTTGAATTTGGCTCTCTTAATTTCCAAACTTCATATTTCTTTTACTTAGACCCTCCAAATTATTTTTCAAATAATTCTCTCTCTCTCTCTCTCTCTCTCTCTTTCTTTTGTATTCTTTTTAACTAACAAATTTAAAAATAGATGAGGAAAAATTAGGCTGCTATTAGTGTTAAAAGAGCTATAAATATATGATCTCAACCAATACTTAAGAGCACCTCATGACCTAATCCGAATGGTAATCCATAAAATTGAAAAAATTTAGAAGTCGAGGATGTAACCACTTGGACAAATTCAATAATTGTTCAAACAATGACATCATAGAGTCAATTGATGTGATAGAGGCCTAAACCATAAGTATTTGAGCATTAGTCAAAGTAGTCGAAGCATCTAAATCAAGGGGCGATAGGGCAACCTTAAGCAAACCAAAATCCGATAATCTATTATCGTTCATATTCAACTTTGTTATAACAAATCGATAAAAGAAAAGTTGAGCTTTCAAAATGTAACTTATGTTTCTAATAAGTTAAAAACTAAGAATTACAATCATTTTCATTGATCCATTATAAGAGAATATCTCATTAGGTCACCCAAAGTGGTTCATATATCTTTTTCGATCGGATCATCCGTCAAAGGTTCGTTTCTTCAATCTCTTTTGAATAACATATTTTACTTTTTTGGACGTGACCTTTCAAATAACAAGGCCATCGCATTTTATTTTTTTGAACAAGCTACCTAGATAACAAGACCATCACTTTTTACTATTTTTAGGTAGGCCACCTAGATAATAGGGACATCGGATTTTACTTTTTCGGCCGGGCCATCGTATTTTACTCGCTCTAGATTGAGCTACCCACGTCAATCACACTCGTTTTTTCCACTTAATTTATTATTTTTTTAGAAACTCACTAAGCAAGCTCAATCGAAGTTCACACTTTAGTTAGCATTTACTTGTAAAGAGGGGACAATTGTCATAACTCAAATTTTGGGTTATAGATTTTTTTTTCCTCAAATTTTATCCCTTTTAGGTTTTATTTTTTATTTTATTTTTATTATTATCCTCTTTTATTTATTATTTTCTTTTTTTCTTATTTTTATTTCATTTCATTTCTTATTTTAGTATTTACTATAAAAAAGAAAAAGAAAGAAAGGAGTCAAAAATACAAAATATATAAAAATATGAAAAATACATGGCATAATTAAGTAGGGGCATTGAATAAAATCAAGACTGAAATTGAAACAATTGAGAACATAATTAAAAAAATTGAACCCTAGGACTAAAATTAAAAGATACAAGTGGTCTAATTGAAAAAAATAAAAGAACTAGGGGCAAAAATTACATGCCTAAAGGGTATAATTACGAACAATTGAAACATGTCAAGACTAAATTGAAATTGAAGAGTAAAAAATGGGATTGAAAATTGAGCAAACCAAGAAACCATCTCTCACTCATACTATTCATCGTCTTCTATCGAAGAAGATATGTTCGATCAATGCCAAAAATTCCTTGTCGGCATTTATACCAACCGAGCATCGTGTTTCACACCACTTACCAGTATCTCCTATACCATCGCACCACCACTACAATCGACAACACTACACATCCAACTCTTCAATTCGAAAATTCGATCTATACACAAAAGCCAAAAACACTAGAAGCATGTTCTTTGGCTTTAGCAATCGAGGGTTTAGATTGATTGAGGAATGATCTTGGGGTAAGAATTTGTTAGAGTTTGACTATAAATTGAGGTGAATTAGAGGAATTGACCGAAAAAAAGATGGATAGAGAGATCAAGAGAGTAAAAGAGGATTCTAGATTAGTAAATTTCTAGATTTTGATTTTCTAGGTTTCAAGAACACTAGAAACCCAGTTCTTCAAACATTTGTCCAATCCAAAATCACAACAACAACACACTTTACAAGCCCTAGATTATGTAATCCTTATATTGACATGTTTGGTCTTGACAAGAAGGATATGAAAGTCTTTATAGAGCAAAATAATTCGATAATTAGATGGGAAGATGTAAAGGAATCAAATGATGAAGATAATGCAAAGAGGTAAAATAGTATGATTGAATAGCTTGAGAAAAAGTATAAGTTTGATCAAATAAAAGCAAAGATGAATAATGGGGGTTTGAAGGTTGCCATTAGACGATACTAATGAAACTTCCAAAAAAAATAAGGAAAACAAATTAAGAAAAGGTTTTGGAGTCTCCATCTAGTATCAAACATATTAGAAACCTACAAAGCATACTAGATTTAGAGATTCTAAAATAAGGAGTTGGTTATGCCTTTGAAAAAATAAAAATTATTTAAAAGCATCTTTTTTTATAAAGGTACCGAGTTTAGCCTAATCCTACAAATATCTCCTAAAAATTATGTTTGCCAAACTATTTTCTAATATATTTCCAAGTTTATTTATAGTCTAGGTCAAATTAATTTTTTATGGCATCGTGTTAAAATTATACCGAGATCAAGATTGGGAATTGTGCTAATTTAACATCGGATCCAATTATATCCTAACATAATTGTCATGTCTAGGAACAACCTAATTAGCTAAAGGTATTTTATTTGGAGTAGATGAGAAAATATCTCTAGAATTAATTCTTTTATTTTTTTTAATATGGTATCATATTAAATTAATATCAAACCTCAAACTTCAAAGTCTCGTTAATTTAGTATTGGATCCATTTAGGTCTTGACATGATTGGCATGTCAAGGACTTACTTAATAACTAAAGATATTTTATTTGGATATGGAAGAGATAATGTTTTCAAAATTGATTCTTTTATTTATTTTTTTATTGTGGCATCATATTAAATTAACGTCCATAGGAGTCTCATCAATCTAGTATCGGATCTAATTAAAGTCTTAACATGATTGGCATATAAAAAAAAGACCTAATTAACTAAAAATATTTACTCAAAACTCGAATAAAAATGGACCAAACTAAACTCATCATTTTTAGGCAAAACTAGCATAAAAAAGCATTTAGATATCAACACACCTTCAATTGAATCAAATATCAACATCTCAAGCAATCATAACACAAACAATTAAATCAAGTAGTTGATTTGCAATGCATCGAGATTAAAACTTATCGTAGACAATCTATGAAATAAAACATAAAACCCATCCTTTTAGCTCCACCATAGAGCATTAAATCAATCTTATTTCACCTTGATATCTCGAGGGTCTTCGACCTCTCAAGTTTGATGTGCAATTATGCATCTCAATATACTTTAAATCCAATCACATCATAATTGACATATTTAACTCAACCATACTAAAAAAAATTAAATTACCGAACAGCTTAGAAAAATATCCCAAAACAGTCTCAAATGGCTCAATTATCCTTGTGTTACTTTAGAAATACCATTTTTATCCCTAGTGTGGTAAAATTACCAAACTACTTATCTACCAAGTGGTGAGATGGTCGTTGATTGTAAGGCTATTATGGGTTTCCAATCATTTCTTTTGTTCTCAACCTATAATAGCAATCAAATGAGGGAAATCCAAATCCATGCCTAGAGTTAATTTTTTTGGGTTTTGTTTAAAACTTTTAGGATTTGAGCTATTATTCTTGGAGTGGGTTTCGAGGTGGCTATAGCTAGTCGTGTCTTTCGGGTGTGGTGATTGGAGGTGGCCAGTGAACCTATTATAATGGCTTTGTGGTTAGTGGCTATTGGGGAGGAGATGGATAGCCGATGAATGTGGGTGAAAGTATGGGTCCGTTGTGTAGCTTGGTGTGGGCTAATGGTTTTTTGGGGTCTATGGGGAAGTGGCAACGATGGGGTATGGTCTTTGGATGCTAAAGATCGATAGCAGGTTAACAATTAGAGTAGCTCAATGATGAAGTGAGATGTTATATGAGAGGTTGAATGGTAGCTTGGTTACTGCAAAGATGTTATGGGGCTGCTAGGTTTAGATGTTATGGGTCACGAGGTCAATTTTAGTTTGGGACTAGTGGAGATCAAGGTCGGTGTAGGTGGTTTGGTGATCGGTGGATATCGATGAAAGAGTGGATATAGTGTGACTAGTATGGTGGGAGGTTCGTACTGATCGCTACGGGTTTTTGTAGGGAAAAGATGAACTTTCCATCTTTTTTGTTTTTTGGAAGGAGAGAAATTTTGGTTTTTATAGTGGGTGTTTACGATTGTAGATGAAAATTTAGCTTAGTCCTCTATTCTTTCATCTTTTTCAATTTTGGTCCTCATCTTATTATTTTCTCATCAATCACACCCCTAATTAAATGATTTAGACTCTTTCTTTTAATTTCTTTTAATTCCATCCTAATTCATTCTCAATTAAGGCATTTGATTTTTATTTTCTTCTAATTATACTCATAATTGTACGTTATTTGGTCATCACTTCTCACATCTTTTTTAGTTGAACCTCAAATCATCTTTTCAATTTCATTCTCTTTTCCTCTTTTTTTTATTTTTTTATTTAATTAAAATTATAAGATAATCCTAGGAAATTAAAATCTTAAAAATTTATAGAAATACCTAAAAATCATAGAAAAATTAAGAAACTAGGCAACATTCATTATATATATATATATATATATATATATATATATATATATATAAAGGGTCAAAAATGGGTTATGAAAAATGTGGTGGTGCCTAAGGTGAAAAAAAGGGTTAATGTTTTCAATGTTAAGGTTGAGTAGGTTCTAGGGAGTCTTCTTTTGGGGTTTTTGGTAAATGAGGGTTTTTGTTAAATATTGGTAATGGTTTGAGTTAATAACAGAGAGATGTGAATTTTGGTTACTAATGGTTTGATTTTAACTTAATTTGGATTCCGTAGTTGGCATTAATTAAAAGTTTCGTTTAAGTATAACTTTTTTGTTACTTTGCTTTACTTAATTAATATTGGTTGTAATTTCTAAAGTCAATCTGAATGTGTCTTAAGAGAATTGGTGCCTTAAAATCAACAGATTAATTCAAATTTCCCTTTTTTAATCAAATAATGGAGGAGGAAGAGTAATTATCTTACGGATCATAGTCAAGATAATAAGTTTTTAATTAACACTTTTTTTTATTTCACCTATTGGTATGTTGTACATGTTTAAAATTAAGAATTTAGGATGGATTAAGTGGATTAAATCTGTCTAACCTAATCGAAATGTACTTCCTATCATCTTAGCGTTCAATTCTAGATTCATAGCCGTTTTGAAAATAAGAGCTTTTAGTTTCATTTTAATTCATTTTTAGGCTTTTTTTATATCCTAGATATATATATATATATATAAGTGTTTGATAAAATTTTAAAAATAGTTTTGAAAATTATTTAAAAGTTAGAAGTCAAAATGTATAAAACAAAACATTTGTACTTACAAATTCTACATAAAATAAAAATATTTTAACAATTTGTTACAAAATTAGATACTTGAGATTGGATTTTATGTAAAAAACTTAAGTCTTATGGTGGATGACTATTCCCAACTTTATATATTACTCCTCTTTTGTTTAACTATTCAATGTGAGATATGTTGTCTAACACTCTCTCTTATTTGTAGCTCATTTTTTAGGTTTATCAAGTGGCTTAGATTTTAAAATTTTTACTAAATCGTTAAGTCTCTTTGAGGATCCGATAACATATAGAGTTAGGCGGTTGAGATTGGATTTTATTTTATGGTGAAAGCCATTTTCTCACCTATCTAACTTAATATGATATCGAGCCTTGATATATTACTCCTCTTTTGCTTAACTATTCAATGTGAGATATGTTGTCTAACACTCTCTCTTATTTGTAGCTCATTTTTTAGGTCTATCAAGTGGCTTAGATTTTAGAATTTTTACTAGATCCTTGAGTCTTTTTGAGGCTCGATACCATACGAGTTAGGTAGTTGAGATTAAATTTTATCTAAAAAAGCATAAGCCTTATATTGAAAGACCTTTTCTTAACTATCTAACTTAATATGATATCGAGCTTTGATGACTAAACGATCACAAGTTTAAATCTCACTATCTCTATTTTCTCTTATAATTAAATAATTAAGCCAACTTAATGATGAGTCTATGCAAACTTCAAACCCAAAAGGATTTCACTTGAAAGAGTGTGCTAGAGAGTAATATAAAACCATTCCCGAAGCCAAGTAATATAAAACTATTTTTGAATCCTCACCCATCGAGTTAAGCTTTTAGTTATAAAAAAAAAATCCTACAATTCCAATCATAATTACAACGAGTCATAATAAAAGCCATCACTATCAAAATTTTGCTAAATAGCAACAAAAATTAGCAACGAGACTCTATCACTAAAAAGAATTAAAATAGCAATAGAATAAAGACCATTATAATCGGAGATGGAATAATGATAGAGTAGCAATGGTTTATTAGCGATCAACACTAATTCGTCACTAACTTTGGTGGTAAAATCTTCTCAAAAGTTTTAGAGATAGTTTAGCAACGAATTTACTAGGAAAAATAGCAATGGAAAGGAATATTCATCTCTATTTTCAATGTCATAATTTAGCAATGCATATTCCATCATTAAAGGACACATCGCTCACGGTTTAGCGATGGAAAATCTATCACTAAAGTTGAGAATTTGGGAAAATTTAGGTAGACTTTTTAAAAGATAAAACCATCCAATTTATAACAGATTAACGATGGACACTAATAATTTATGATGGATTAGTGATGAAACTTACTACTGTCGCTATATGTAAGAAAATAGGTGGCCAACTAGGCAAAATTGATCGATATTTTGATACGGATTAACGACGGACCAACGAGGTGATCGCATCCGTCGCTATTGTCCAATTCTAATTTAGCCCCTTTCTTCCTTCTCCCCTATACACTTCTACCATTCATTTGCCCCTCCTAATCACCACCAAACTCCACTACTTCACTCTCATTCATTATGCATGAACTCGAGGGTCTTCTCTCCTAAAAACCTTCTTTTTTCTTTCCTTTTCTTGGTGTAATTCCACCCGAATTAGGTATGTTTTTTCTCTTCTTTATTTTCTTAATTAAAATTAGTAATTTGTTATCATTGTTAGATTAATTTAATTTTAATTACTTGATTTATGATTCGTGTATATATTTAATTGTCATTTTATTGATTTATTTGTTAAATTGTTAGATTAATTGGTTGATTAATTTGTTAAATCTTGTTCATTCTTAGTTAAGTAGTTAATTAATTATAATTTAAATTTAATGAGAACATATTTTTAATCAATTAAGTTAAATTTATTTGAAAATTTTAATTAATTAAGTTAATTATGTTTAATGGGTTGAATTAGACTAAATTTTTTAATTAATTTTTCTTAATTAAGTTATTTTGATTTATAATTAATTAATTAATTAATTATGTTAATTAAGTTAAATTAGTTGAATTATAAATTTATTTATATTAGAAATTGTTAATTAATTGTTGTTTCAAATTCAGTTTAGTTAGAATTATAATTAATTAAGTTAATTAGATTTATCTTTAATTTGTTAATTAGGTTTATTATGCTGAATTGGTTGAATTAAAATTTTATTTACATTAGAAATTGTTAATAAATTTTTATTTTAAATCAAATTTCATTAGAATTAGAATTAAGTAAGTTAATTAGATTTATAATGAATTAATCAATTAGGTTAATTTTACTTAATTGGTTGAAATAAAACTTTATTTGTATTAGAAATTATTAATTAATTATTATTTTAAATTAAATTTGGTTAGAATTAGAATTAATTAAGTTATATATATATATATATATATATATATATATATATATATATATATAATTAATTAATTAATTAATTAGGTTAATTTTGTTTAATTGGTTGAATTAAAACTTTATTTATATTAAAACTTATAAGTTTATTATTATTTTAAATTTTATTTGATTACAATTAGAATTAATAAATTTAATTATTTCTTATATAATTATTGAAATGTATCGAGATATGCCATACTGTATTGAACTCGAGGGGTTGGAAACTCTCGGGAATTGAGGAGAAATAAAGTTGGTTCAATACTTTGCGATGGAATTAGAAGGATGAGTTTGAGATTTAATTTCATAGAGTATTCGAGACAATTATTGGTCTTGGTATGCGTAAATTGATTATTGGTTGATTTAATTTATTGTTTATGTGATCATTTAGAGAGTTTATTAATTGAAAAAGATGTAATTTACAATGAAAACTCTATCAAAATTTTATTAAATTTTTAGGAAAAATATTAATTAATAATTTTATATTGCCACGAAAATGCGAAACAAAATAATGAAATTCGATCATGAATGGATGTATGTTGGGTGTATAGATGGGTATTTAAATGTTGATTTAATGAATCAGAGTTGAAAGAATTTGCTCGCATTTGCTCTTACTCATCCCGAGTGTATTGGTGAAAAAAAGTTAAAGTGTCCTTATAATCACTCTAAGAGTCACAATTGAAATTTTAAAGAGGTTGTCATGGTTAAATACAATTTAGTGAGATATGATTTTGTGCCAAGATATTATAACTGGATACACCATAGAGAAGTTGACTCGAGTTATATTGTGTTGGGAAATTTTCATGAAGGCAAAAAG